AGGATTGGGGTTGCGGGCAAGGAACCATTGGCTCGTGTTTACTCGTGAACTTCCTGAACTCGTGTGTTGCACATCGAGGACTAGATTTGGTGCAGGGGGTCAAGGGTACCCAGTCTACGTCTTTCCAAGCCAGTGGCCTCACATTATGCCGGAAGCACAGCACTCTCAGCTCAAACTGGAGGCACATAGCGTGGCAAATTTATGTGCCGTTCTTATCTCCAGCTTGTCCATGAGCCTGACCCCCAACCCTAGACCCTCAAAGTCCGTGTCCTGCCTCTACCCCCACCCTAAGCCCTAAGCCCTAGACCCTAGACCCTAAAACCCTAAACCCGAAACCCTAAACCCCTACACCTCTTGGAGACAGCCTTAGGCCCCAACGGAGCCGGCGACAAGGTCGGGCGGCGAGCGTGGCTTCGGGTCTCCTTGCGGGTTGCGAGTGAGCCCAGAACCCCGAAACCCTGACCCCTTCCGAAGCCGAAAGCCCTAGGGAGGATATCGGAGCCTCAGGGTTTAGGTTTTAGGGTTTGGGGTTTAGGGTTTAGGGTTTAGGGTTCAGGGTTTCGGGTTTAGGGGCCGGCGAAGTTCTGGCTTGGCCGGGTTTAGGGTTTCGGGTCGATCTCACTATGGCTGCCTAGGATGCTTCAGAGCGTTGTTACGAAGGGTGTTGTACATAGCTCAGCCCCTAAACCCTACACCCTCCACCCTACACCCTACACCCTAAACCCTAAACCCTAAACCCTAAACCCTAAACCCTAAACCCTAGACCCCAAATCACCTGCACCTTCTGAAGCCGAGGGCTTGGTCTCTTGCCCAGGGATCTAGGACTTGGGAGAGTTTGGCGCTCTTGCAATGGGCTTGGGGTTTGGGATTTAGGGTTTGGGGTTTGGGGTTTAGGGTTTGGGGTTTGGGGTTTGGGGTTTAGGGTTTAGGTCTATTCTTTTGGATCAATCGGTCCGTCAGGCCGTCTTGAAACCCGAACGCTAAACCCCAAAGCCGAAACCCTAAGCGGCAGGATCCACATGGCGACCTTCTCCACCGCCACAGCCTCAGTCCACGCGCGCCCGAGCCAACAACCACAACTTCGCATGTAGCGCCCCGAGACCATAAACCCTAAAAAACCCTAAACCCTAAACCCTAAACCCTAAACCCGAAACCCTAAACCCTAAACCCCCTAAACCCTCAACCCCAAACCGGACACCCTCAATCCTCAAACCCTGAACTCTGAGTCCCTGAGCTTATGACGCCCCTGATTAAGGTTTACGGTGTTAGGGTTTAGGGTTTCGGTTTAGGGTTTAGGGTTTAGGGTTTAGGGTTTAGGGCTAGGGTTTAGGGTTTAGGGTTTCTAGGGGTTCGGTTGCAACAGCTCTTCAGGGTTAGGCTTTAGGGTTAGGCTTTAGGGTTGGGGGTTTGAGGGTTGAGAAGCTCGCAACCAGACTCCTGAGGAACAGCTTTTTCAAGCCCTGTTCAGGCAAAATACTTGCTTCTAAACCCCAAACCCCAAAACCCCAAAACCCCAAAACCCCAAAACCCCAAAACCCCAAAACCCCAAAACCCCAAAACCCCAAAACCCCAAAACCCCAAAACCCCAAAACCCCAAAAACCCAAAACCCCAAAACCCCCAAACCCCAAAACCCCAAAACCCCAAAACCCAAACCCCAAAACCCAAAACCCCAAAACCCCAAAACCCCAAAACCCCAAAACCCCAAAACCCCAAAACCTCAAAACCCCAAACCCCAAAACCCCAAAACCCCAAACCCCAAACCCTCAACCCTAAACCCCTAACCCCTGACCCCTAATCCCTAAACCTTAAACCCTAGACCCCAAACCCTAGAACCGAAGTCGCTTCGTAGCTTTGGGTCCAGGGTCCTTAGGGCCTCCCACCCCGAGGACATGTACTCGGAGCGCTTCCGGGAATCGCTGAGAGCCAAGGCCTCTGTTCTTCACTTTTGCTTGGGGGGTTTAGGGTTTAGAGTTTAATTTAGGGTTTAGGGTTTAGGGGTGTTTAAGGCTTAACGCTTTTTTGGTTTGATTTAGGGTTCAGGGTTGAGGTGTTTTGCAAGAAAACCTGATGCTGATGATGATCCAACCTCTACACATGCATCACGCTTCTCACTACTGATTTGTGTTCTGCTGTGTAGATGATATACACTCTCATGGCCTATGGGGTTGTGTGAAAACCGTATCTGTGTTATCTTGAACTCCGGGTGGTAGCGGTGGGCAAACCAGTCCTGAGCCCGCTGCTCACCCTGAAGACACCCTAAACCCTAAACCCTAAACCCTAAACCCTAAACCCTAAACCCTAAACCCTAAACCCTCAACCCTCAACCCTAAGCCCTAAACCCTAAACCCTAAACCCGAAGAGCCTGGTGACTTTGGCAGCGGTTTGGAGTCAGAGGTGCTTGCTTTTCAAGTGACCCATCATCCCTGCTCCCTACAGCCCTGAAGCCAAAGCCACTCACACCCCAAACCCCAAACCCCAAACCGCCCCAAACCCCAAACCCTAAACCCTAAACCCACAAGGATCCTCCAGCCTCACACCCCCCCCAAAGCCCCACTCCGTCAATCCTCAAAGCAAAGAAGCCCAGCAGCCTTCTCCATGTGTGGGGTTTAGGGTTTAGGGTTTAGGGTTTAGGTAGCCCTAAACCCTAGCCCTAAACCCTAAACCCGCCGGAAGCACCAGGAGAGCTATGCCAAGCACTGGGGCTACTCCTTCAAGGCGGATGGGCCTAAACCCTATACCCTGAACCCTAAACCCTAACTAAGCCCTACACCCTTCATAAACCACATCCCGAAGCGAAGTTTTTCATGTGGAGGGCCTCTACAAGGGGACCACAACAAATTCGAAACTCGGAGCCTTAAATCGACCCATACAGGGTTTAGGGTTTAGGGTTTAGGGTTTAGGGTTTAGGGTTTAGGGTTTAGGGTTTAGGGTTTAGTGCTTGTCCCCACCAAGCACAGCCAGCGACCCTCCCACGACGTTTTCTTCAGTTCGGGTTTAGTGGTTCGGGTTTCGGGTTTAGGGTAAACCCTAAACCCTAAACCTAAACCCTAAACCCTAAACCCTAAACCCTAAACCCTAAACCCTAAACCCTAAACCCTAAACCCTAAACCCTAAATCCTAAACCCTAAACCCTAAACCCTAAACCCTAAACCCTAAACCCTAAACCCTAAACCCTAAACCCTAAACCCTAAACCCTAAACCCGGTTTCGGCATGAGGACTACTTTAACACTTAGCACTCAAGGCCGGGAATTCAGGGTTGAAGGGCTCATTGCTGCAGGGCTGATCTGTCTCCATCGCGGGAGCTGGGGAGTGTTGTAGGGTGCAAGGTGCGGAGGCGCGTGGGCTTTAGGGTTTAGGGTTTAGGGTTTAGGGTTTAGGGTTTGGAGCAAGTCGGATTCTGAAGATTCTGGGGTCCTGTACCTACCACCCCCCCCCAACCCAACCCACCCGAGCTGCCCAGAGGTTCGGGATACCTTGCTACCCGCGCAGGGCTCAAGGGCTTTTAGGGCGTTTAGGGGGGTTTAGGGTTTAGGGTTTAGGGTTTAGGGGGTCCCAGGGTTTAGGGTTTCGGGTTTAGGGTTTAGGGTTTAGGGTTGAGGGTTTGAACAATCAGGTCTTCGACGAAAGTTCGCTGGACTGTGGGGACCCCTGGTGGGGCCAACTGTCCGGTCTAGGCTCGGATGCTGCGTCGGTAGGCAAAAATCACCTTAGACCGTCAACCGTCAACCGTCAACCGTCAACCCTAAACCCATTCCTGGTGCCCTAACCCTAAACCCTAAACCCTAAGCCCTAAACCCTAAACCCTAAACCCTGAACCCTAAACCCTAAACCCTAAACCCCAATCCCTAAACCCTCAACCCTAAACCCTAAGCCCTAAACTCCCCTCGCCTCCCAGGTGAAAAGTTTCGCGCGTTCCGGTTTCGGGGTGACTACCGCTACTGCAAGCTGGAGGCGTGGGAGGGCAGGGGCGCAAGACCAGACAGACCCCTAAACCTGGGGAGTTGCCATCCAGCAGCTCTTTCCACCTAGGACCTGTCACTTTATATATACACACATAGAATTTGCATATGCATGCTGCATATGTATGTTTGTGTATATATGTATATTTGTTTTTTTTTTTTCGTTTTGTTGTCTGCAGCGCATTAGCTTGTTATACCAGGGGTTCTGCAAACAATAGCCTCAAGTTTGGGATTTGGGGCAGGGGGTAGACTTAGAGAAGCGGCCCTTACATGATGTCAGGAAGATTCCTTGACGAAGGGGGGTTGGGACCTCTACTTTTCCGATGGTAAGGACGAAGGTCGAGGGCTTCTTTGGGGCTCCAAGAAGCATCATGTCAAAGCGAGAGACAGCCTCCACACCTCCTCTGCAGCAGCTGTAGCCAGAAGATACTAGGACCCAGAGTAGGCCCTTATTCCCTTTTTTTTTTTTTCTTCTTGAGGGTTTAGGTTCCCTTATGATCCGCTTGAAACCAAAAGGGGCACCCTTTTCATTCCTGGTTTACTCCTGGGTCTAGGATAGCTCTTTCCGAATATTTTCGCTGACACCCAAAACCCGAAACCCCCACATACGTTGTTCCTTTGTCAGGGCTTGCTGGCCTGCGATGTTTGTTCCATTTGCTGCTACTCGTAGCGAATTTCGGGGATTGCCGAAAATGGAGGGTTGGGGGGGGGGGGGGGGGGTACTCCTCATTTCCCCCCAAATACGATTGTCCTTTTTTTGCAGGAACCCCACAGTGACAAGGGGCTCGAATTCCCTAGTGCTTTGCACAGAAATCGTGTGGATTTGGTTTAGGTTGGGTGCTGCTCCGTCTGAGTACCTTCCGCCTCGACACCCCAACACTTTTAACTTGGATGCTCCGCCTTTTTCTAAGAGTTTAGGGTTTAGGGTTGAGAGTCTAGGGTTTAGGGTTTAGGGTTAAGATAGGGTTTAGGGTTTAGGGTTTACATTAACAGCCCTTAATGGGTATGATCATCGGGGGTACCATAATCCCTACTAAGGACTGTTGGTATAAGGGGGAACACTCCAAAACCCAAAACCCAAAACCCCAAACCCAAAACCCAAAACCCAAAACCCAAAACCCAAAACCCTAAACCCTAAACCCCTTAGTAGAACGGGGAACATCCCAACCTTCAACCTCTAAAACACCAACAATCGGCTGCAGGGTTCATGGCTTCGGGCTTAGGGTCCAGTTGTTACTTCTCCTCCATAAACCCTAAACCCTAAACCCTAAACCCTAAACCCTAAACCCTAAACCCTAAACCCCAAACCCTAAACCCTAAACCCTAAACCCTAAACCCTAAACCCTAAACCCTAAACCCTAGACTCGCCCATACTAGCCAACAGTAGGCGGCTGGGCCAGGCTCTGAAAGCCACTTGGCGCCGAGTTGCGAAGTCAGGGGCTCAGTAAGTAAGGCGGTGGTGGTTTAGGGTTTAGGGTTTAGGGTTTAGGGTTTTGAGGTAGGGGTTAGGGGGTTTAGGGGTTTCGGGGTTTCGGGGTGAGGGGTTGGGGTCTTCAGGTTCAGGTTCATTTTCAGGATGTGAGTTTTCAGGGACCAGAATGTCTAGGTTTGAGGCTTTGAGGTGTGAGGCACAGCGCCCAAAAGCCAAAATAAGCTTGAAAGCTCCCGAACCCTAAGATCCCAAACTCCAAGCTGTATGCCCTAAACCCTAAACCCTGAACCCTAAACGCTAAGCCCTGAACCCTAAACCGTAAACCGTAAACCCCTTCGCAGTTCTGTGGGCTTGGGTTCCGGAATTCGGCGCCAACGTCTGAATTCAGGGTCTCGGATTTCGGGTTCAGGGTCGAAAGCCACAAAAGGGCCCACCCAAGCCCAAGGCCCGCCCTGTCCCTCAAGGCAGCCTGTTCTTTCGGCTTCCCCCCCCCCCCCCCCCCCCCCCCAAAACAAAAACTGAATTTTGTTTGGGGCCCAGGGGCCCGAGATCTGGAACGAGGGCACGGAGCCAACAAACCTAGCGCAAACCCAAAATCCTAAACCCTAAATCCTGAGGGTTCAACTCTCACCGCTGAACCCTAAACCCTCAATCCTAAACCTCAAGCCCTCAACCCTCAAAGTTTTGGCACCCCCAAAGGGATCGCAAAGCCGATGCTGACGCCACCAGGCGTGGGGTGGCCCAGATAGGGTTCAGGGTTCAGGGTTCAGGGTTTAGGGTTTAGGGTTTAGGGTTTCGGGTTTAGGGTTTAGGCTAAACCCTAAGCCCTAAACCCTAAACCCTAAACCCTCCCGAACCCCAGCAAGTCGCGTGAGCAGCAAGCTTAGGGTTTAGGGTTTAGGGTTTAGGGTTTAGGGTTTAGGGTTTAGGGTTTAGGGTTTAGGGTTTAGGGTTTAGGGTTTAGGTCTAGGGTCTAGGGGTTTAGGGTTTAGGGTTTAGGGTTTAGTTTAGGTTCCCAAAGTCCAAAGGGTCTTCATCGGAAGCCTGAAGTCGCTCCTTGGCGCGCCCCTGAGAGCGGACCGCTGCAGGCGACTACATCTTCTGGCATGACGCCGGCCACCCGGTTTCAGGTTTAGGGTTTAGGGTTTGGGGTTTAGGGTTGTGGGTTTAGGGCCGGTGCCCCCCACCGTCACCCCTCCCCACTAGGGTTTAGGGTTTGGGATTTCGGGCTTAGGGTTTCCAAACCCAATCTTTATGGTGAGTTCTCAAGATTCAGGTCCCCTTTTTGGGTGCCCTAAATGAGAGGGGCCGCCCTTATAATGAGACCCCAAAAGGGATCCCCAATCCAGAGAAATCACCTTATGAATCTCACACCCTGAAAGACTTGCACCAACGCAGCAGGGTGCTGCGAAGATGTCAGCAGAAAGCCCAGCAGCACCAGGACCCGCGAAGCCTTCCCCCTGAACCCTATAAACCCAAGACCCTGGGTTTAGGGTTTAGCGTTTATTTAGGGTTTAGGGCTGAATCATAGACACTCATTTTACACTCATCCCCCTACACGCCAGTTTTAAGTGAAGAGGCCGCTAGATGAGACCCTGCAGCCCTAAGCCCTCAACCCTGTACCCTGAACCCTAAATCCTAAGTCCCTGGGTCCCTGTGTCCTTGGGATTTGTGGACTCCTGGGGGCTTAGGCCCTGACCCCGAATCTCCAATGCCCGTTAGCTAGCATAACCCTCAGGGTTTAGGGTTTATAAGGGTTCAGGGTTTAAGTATAAGCTCCTAGGCACCATTTTCTGTTGTTTGTTGAGGATTATCTTAAGTCCTAGTTCGTGAAGAAATGCTCCTTAGCTCTCCTTCACTTCTATTACGGTCCCTAGTATCATGCAAGGCATGCTGCTTGGATAAGGGCTGCCGTAAGATAATTAAGGCCATTTAGGGATACTTAAGCCTATCTAAGGTTATCTAAGGGGGGGACCTTGGGGGAGGGGTGGTATAGAGGGGTGTAGCAGGGGAACCCATGACAGCCCCATGCACCCAGCGAGGTCGACACGCACATCATGCGCCCGGAGACTGCTTTGGTAGAATTTCTCACAGCAGCGGATTTTGCGCAAGAGCCTCAGGCGGCCTAGCAACACAGCTTTCCCAAGCTCCAAACCCTAAACCCTTGACCCTCAATCGTAAACCCCAAACCCCAAACCCCAAACCCCAAACCCCAAACCCCAAACCCCAAACCCCAAACCCCAAACCCCAAACCCCAAACCCCAAACCCCAAACCCTAAACCCTAAACCCTAAACACTAAACCCTAAACCCTAAACCCTAAACCCTAAACCCTAAACCCTAAACCCTAACCCTAAACCCTATACGGGGGGCAACCGAAGGAGGACAGGGAACAAAACAGTCAGCCCCAACAGAAGCCCTTGATTCCCCTGGAACAACCGAAGACAAAACCCAAAGCACAACCAAACACACCTTTTCCGTAGGGCGCATTGCCCACGTTTCTTGAGCCTTGAGCCAAAAATATCCGGGTTCATTGACCCCTTCAACTCCCATCACCAACTCTTTTCTACAATACTAGTTGCAGCTCCGCACTCCCCCTGTCCTAGGATTTCCTAGGACACATTGGAGATGCCGTTCTTTGGCCAAAAACCGCCATTTAGGCAGCAGCCAGCTGCTTGAAATGCACATTATGGTTTAACGTCATCCAGGACGAACCTTCAGCTCATTGGCTGAATCCTTTACCATTGAGGATTTTTTCACCTCGTACTTGGAAAATTCACGTTCCAGCAGCCCGTTCCTCACCAAGGAACTCAGCATTCACCACCCAGCCATCCTTGAGGCAATGCTTACAAAGCGTCTTAGCCCTGGGCTGTGAATATCGCAGAACATCACAGTCACTGCTTGCGTGCATACAGTTCCCACCCACTGTTGTATACAAAGTGGCACTCGCAGGAATAACCACCGCTTTCTTGATCCACAGCCATTTATGCAGCCGTCGAAAGAGGCACCATGCCAGTTCCCAGAGTATAATTGCTGCCACCAAATACGCAACAAGGTCTGAATTGTTGACAACCATTTCAATACCTTGAGCCAGAACCATCACCGTAGACGTGTTGGCGACCTTGCACACCCCTTCTTCTGAGCAAAAGAATCCAGCCGTGGACACTTCTTCGCCACCAGTTGCCATCCCTTGCAGAGATGCAGCCACCATCATGACCGCCATTGCAAGCGAGGCTTTTTCCAAGTCAGTTCCTTGAACCAACAGTCTGAGACCCCAAAGTGCCTTTTGCTTTGCGTACACCTGTCCACTCATTAACTTAGTCAACAGGTCAGCGATCATATACTCACCGCGAAGGTGCGCTATCACCATATAACCACGGTCCACCAGAGACCTGACACCGGCTGCTCGAATTCTCAGGTGTCTTGTTCTCCAGCTTCCAGCAGGATATTGAATGATCGAGCACGTTGAAACCGAATCTGTATACAGCACTTTTTGCAGCGATTCTTCACCTGTTCCAACCAAAGCGGCAATTATAGGGGTGCACGACTGAATCATCGTTGCTCCCTCTATGGACGCATGTAATTCAGCTTCAGCTGTACTTAAAGCCACCGTTGGTTGTCTTTGTGTTGCCCACATCACTGGACAGTCACCCCAATTTTCACCTGCTGCAAAGCTGGCATCCGCGTAGGACTCCACCACCTTAACACCTCGTCCATAACGCAACACCTCATTCCTTTCTTTTTCGCATGTTGCGATTGCTCCGAACGTCAAGCCTAACGTTGGAGTTGCAGCAAGGTATCGGAAAACTTCCTCAGCCTTTTTAACCACAAATCGTGGCCTTCGGGATGTCCACAAAGACAACTGGCTCGTGCAGAACGCCAAATCAGGTCGAGTTTTGATTGCCACCCAGAGGAACTCCCCTACGGCACCTTGAGCCGCTCGCAAGGAAGGAATATCCACCTCCTCTTCTTCACCTGGAGTTTCTTTCACCATTGGCAGGTTACTCCCTTTTCCAGTTTCATCGATCTGATACCCTCGTCGGTTCAGCAAATCTCTCACAAAGTCCTCCTGGTTGAGAAAGAAGCTGCCATTTCGATACCAGATTTGGACACCCAAAAACTTCAGGAATCCATCACCGCAGCCTGGACCACAGAACTCGGGTTCAGAAGTTTTCCACTCCTTCCTAATCTGTTCCAAGGCCTCCCGGAGCACTGTCATAGTCCCAGCCATCAAAAAATCATCCACGTAAAGACCCATTGTCCCTACCAACTTGCTTGCACCTTCCGGCTTTTCTTGTGCCATAATAAGGAACAGACTTGGGTCTGCATTGGACCTCTGAAAGCTCATTGCTTGTCCATCCTTTGACACCCAAGACATACCTTGAAGACGTTGGTCTCGCCACTCCACCCATGCTGCAGGACTTTCGGCCAAACCGTACAAGGCCTTTCTCACAATCCACCGCTCCTCCTTTGTGCAAAGACCCAATTTCACCGCCGCCCTTGGGGGCTGCACCACCACCAAACGCCCTTCTCTTTGCGCCCTATTCATCGGCGCCGTCAGAAAAGCTTTGGAAATGTCTAAGCCAGCGATGATCCATACCATATATGCTGCGTGCCTCACTTGACACCTGAATGTAGTTGAATCTAAGCCTGGAGCGTACAGCGAGTGACGACTGAGTGACCTCGGCCCTTCATATTCTGTAGCTGCCGTTGACGAAATGAAGTTTCCACATGCACAGATACGGGCACGTCGCCTCCCTGTCCCTTGCTTCCGGGTAAACACCACCAGACTGGGAACGTACTCAATCACCGGTGCATTAGGCTCTTCCGCCAATTTGTCCAGCTTTTCTTGAGTTGTTGGTTCCACCACCTCCAACTCTTTCACCAAAGACGTCACCTCGTCCGACAATGATTCCCTCCACTTTTCCAGCTCTTGCATGGCTTCTTGTGTAGGGATTGTTTTTGTTTGCAGGAACTCAACCTCCTCTGCTGCCTCAAGCGCGGTATTTTCTTGCACCATTTGCTGAACTTGAGCTGCTTTGACCAAAAACTTCGAGAGCTGTTCCTCAGCCCTTTTTGCTTTAACCAGCCATTCTCTAGTCTCTGATCCTTTCTCCTCATTCGACTCATTGGCCGATCCATGGAACTCGTCCAAAATGCAACATTCCTGTTCAGCAATTAGGCGTCGAATACTCAAATGCTCCTCTAGAGCCCATTGATGCGCTTCGAACACAGCGTAGTCGACTTCCTCTGCAAGGTCGTCCAGCGAGGTCTCTTTCAACGTCATTTTTAACCACTTCCTTTTTTCACCTTCTTCAGCTTGTGGTTCCGGAAGAGGAAACTTGCATTGGAGAAGATAGCACCTATCCTTGTAGCTCAAACGCTCCATAAAAACAGGTGTGTACCCTGTCAAGGATACCCTGTTCCCTTTCCAAGGCATAGGACCATGCAGCTTTCTCGGAAAGAACGACATGAAGTTCCAGTGGATATCCACCAATTTTCCAGGTAAGACTTTCTTCCCATAGGATTGCTCTACCACTTCAGCTCCTTCCTCTAAGACCTTTTCATCCTCAACCCACAGCTGACCATCTTTATAGTCACCAAAGCCACACACATAATTGCAGCAATGCTTTTCATTGTGACTATCCCTATGCAATGACACCGGAGCATTGCATGAGATCTGAAGAGCAGAAAATTTGGCTTCAGGATTGTGGTGCCTCACGAATGATGCCAAATAACGACATAGCCATGGTCTTCGATGAGTCTCTTTTGTGATACCACACACTCCGCCATGAGTATAGTGGCCCAACACCAGAGCTCGCGTACTTGCGCACCAATTGTTGATACCACCTCTTCGATTCACCCTCTTTGGGTATACAATCCCTTCCAAAAGCTCCTCGCAGTCCACGTAATCATACATAGACCTTTCATACATTGACTTGGCTTTTTGCTCTTCTTTTTCCAACTGTGTTCCATCCCCAGCAGTCTCACTTTTGCAGACCAAATAAGCATTTTCATGAGGAGAACAGCAAGTCGGCCAATACTCATCACCAGGAACATTGTCCTCAACATCTGCATTTTCTTCCAGCTCCCCCAGACCCTGCATGTCATCCTCGAAAATGTCTAAGGGCGGACTCTCCCCCCGCCTGCGAAGCAAGCGCAAGGAGCCCACATGACCACGCAGTGAAGAGGCCGGGCTTTTCTCCATCAACCGATGGCGAACTGGAGGATCGCGAGGCGGAGGTAAAGGAGGACCTTCCTCATCAGCGAACCGAAGCGCCGGTTTTTTCCCCTTGAGACGATGCTCTGGAGGAGAAGGCTCCTGTTCTTCTACCACCCCTTCCAGCTCCAATTCAGGCGGTTCCTTTATATTGGAAAAAATCGTAGTGCAGGGAAATAACACCAGTTCATCCGGATCTTTTGCAGTCCCTTGAGCTTCCACCCAATAACCACCAGGTAGGTCATCGCATGGACCCAAAAGAAGCGCAGGCTGCGTACGATCGACCCATTGCCGACCTTTCTTTGTTCCATCCGGACCCAGCAACTCCCACGGACGACGTTTGACTTGAATCTGAGCACCAAAGGGAAGCAATGCTTTAGGATTTAACCCCAACTCCCTTTCAGCTTTCTGCCACCGTAACATTGACCAATGGCGAGCAGCCAGTGCCCAGTACGCCGGCCCGAGTCGCGCCTCCTTTAAGAGCGACCTGACACCACGTTTGAATAAACCCACACATGCTTCAGCGCGCCCATTTGTTTGCGGGACTCCAGGATCACCAGTGGTCCTATATATCAGACGAGTTTCACAAAAGGACCGGAAGCGTGCATTGACAAACTCCCCCGCTCGATCTGAGTGGATTCTCAACACCGGATACCCATGTCTCTGCAAGCGCACCATCATCCTTTGAACTGCCGACAAAACAGTTGTTTGCTGTTTATCCACAATCGGCTCCACCATAACGAAGTTGATCATACGGACAGGTTGGGTCAAGTGGTCCTTCAGTTCCTTCCAGGATTTCTCAGAAGCTTGAATTTTCAACACCTCCGCCTCCAGAACTGGCGCAGGTTCCACCGGTGCAGAGCCTTCCTCCTCGAAGTTCGCGACTGCA